GGAGAGGTCAACGAATTCTAATATAGGACACTACAAAACGATAGGTTTTGCATGTATTGTTTTAATTATCAACGATTTACGCGCGTGACGTTCGATATTACACATATCTACCACTATTGTTTTCGAAATGTCAATGGTCTGTATTATTTTTTTCAAACGGTATAGGTACCACGGTGACCGGTAGGTGCATAATAATGATGAAAATAATACAACGACAATCTTATTCGGCGTACACGTAAATATGAGAATATAAAAACTCAATTGAAATATAGGTAGTGATATGCTCAGTGATAACGATAGTGATATAGTGACTTAAAACGGACCAAGCTATTGGAACGCGATCGTATTATTATGTCAAACAAATCATTGCGACTTTCAGTACTTGGATGACAACCAAAATGAAACCGCGTTCGAGTACGACGTGTTAACTAAATATTAGCAGGGGATAATCAAACAAAAAAAAAATGATTATCGTCCGACATTTGAGGAAAAGAACCTATTACCACATACCTACATATTACTATACAATATCATGTGCATCGTGAAATGATGAGAGTACCACGAGCTTATTTCTGCGTCAGTGGCTCTTTTAGGGCTCGAATGCATTATACATGCATGGAGGTCTGCCATGGAACTTATAAAGATGAAAGAATATTATTTTATTACTACCGAAGTAAACGGAAGATTTTGTTTTATTTTTTTTTCACTTTCTTTTTTGTTGAATTCAATAGCCCTCCAAAGGAAATAAACTCCCTAAACAAACTTTTAATACTTTCCTATAAATTACTACAACGTGCGTATTGTTTAATTTCATTTTTACATCTGTACACGAGATATATTTAGTTGAATAAAAACCTTTTAATATTCTGGATAAGGTCTCGGTTCGTGTAACTTACTTTGTATACTTATTTAAATATGGTTTCAAACACTGCTCCTTCTTTTTTTTATAAAGTATTTTCCTTTAGGACGATGCGCTTTGAATAACCGTTAGGTATCATACCTACTCCTGAGTGCAGGGGTGTACTATTAATATTGTACTACTATGCTTTTTGATAATAACATTATTAATATGATGTATGATGCAAAAATAATTCCTATACATTGTATCAAATTCAAAGACAATTACTTAAAACACTTCAAACACGTTTATTCATTTTGAAACGCACTTTTTAATCTAGAGTAATATTTATTCGGATTCTTACGTTCGGTTAACTTCAGTAAGATACTATAGTATTTCTGTGTAATACCTATTATAAATGTATAATATTTTTTTAAAACCGTTAACCGATTATAAGTCGCCGTATGGTTATCGGTTCAAATTTTAATTTCAGTTTTTGTTGTCTCGGAGTCAATAAATAATGTTACATTTAAATAAAATAATATTCGGTTGGTATTCAGTATGCATGACTATTGTCACGACTCGTGATTAATAATCAACATATTATCTTACATGTCGTTATGCGTTTGAGACATTGTCGTAGCAAGTGTATATTTGATATTATTGTATGGCATGTACAGTGTAGGTACACCCACCCATAACGACACGGAGGATAGACATGGGTAGGTTAGGTATACATACAAAATACCTTCGGAATACATAATTTTCTTGTATAATAATTAAACTATAGTATTGAATGAATTCAAATAACACGTCGTGAATGTGAAATTTCTAACGTTTATGGGCAAAACGTGAGAATATCCGTTTCGTGTATAGATTCATTGATTTCCGTCCAAGATGAAGGAAAAATAAACTTTGGAAAAAAAAGTAATTGCCTAAATTACAGTAAAATAGTAACAATAAGAACAAACATTAACTCGAATAATAGCGTTTAATCTCTGGATGGTCGGAAATTTGAAGTACAATTATTATTCAGTCGGTCGAGGCAAATTAATATTCTTGTAAGCGTATCGATTATAAATCGATTGATCTGTATTTCTTTTATAATATATCTGTAATATATTATTGGATTCCATTGGATTAACATATTTTGTGTGACGCTACATATGCGCAACTTTACTTTACTTCTCAATTAACGTTGTTCTAGTTAAATTTTTTTTTTTTAATTTTGAGAAACATATTTTTATACTTTCTAAGACATAAACAATGACCTATCTTAAAATATTTCAAATATTTGTTTTCTATCTTCGTGAGTTTTATTGTTCTGTTGTTTTATTGTAATAACATAATATTATGCCATAACAATAATGTACTCATTGTGCACTGATTGTAAAATACAATTTTTTTTAGGAGGAAACAATATCTTGTTCTAAAATCAATAAATGTTCACCCATCCTAAGAAGGCCATTTTATATAGATATACCTTCAAAAATGTTTTTATCTATATTATTCCAGACATTTTGTATTCATCAACATTGTGTTGTTGAAAAGTTTCGAAAACTGGCTCTCCTCTATAATAATAAATTTAAAGAATGAAACATTCATTGTGCAGGCCTAATGTAATCACCGGAAAATCATTCATCCTCCTAATGTTTTTTTATGTTAAAGAAAAATACAAGCAATAAGATGCGCAGTTGGAATGTGTAATATAATACAATATAATATAATGAAACTACTATCGTAATAAAATACTATTTTAGTAACATTTAATTTTATAACCTGAGGTTATTGGACATTAATAATATACAATAATTATGAGTGATTTTTATATAACATGATAGGTAATTATTAATTAATTTCAAATAATTTCCTTCATAAAAGTACCTATTGGGTTAGATATTAATATTATAATATTTATAAAATCATAATACATTTTATTTATTTATAAAACACATACTATTTGGGATGTACCTATGCAACTATCAGTTTTTATAATATACATTTTCCTGCCGATTTACATCTAACAATTAAACTATCTACATATTTTTGTTAAGTATATTATCATATAACTTGTAACTATTGTAAGTCGTACTCAAAAAAATTTGACCAAAGTATGATGATTGTAACGATGTTAACATTTTTAAGCGTCATAACTGCTTTCATCTCGTTTTCTAAAATAATTCGAAATCTTTCAGGGTTTTCAATTTGCCTAATGGAATTTCACTTATTTTAAATGATGCGTTTAGACGTAGAAAATGTTTTACATTAAAACGTAAAAGTGATTTTCTTCAAGCCAATAAAGTTAAATTGTTAGTAAGAACAATATGAATAAGACACGATCGTATAACATTTTGCTTCAAGGAGTTTTCGAAATGGCTAAAATCATTTAGTCTTACGGAATGAAATTATCTTATTTGATAATTTTCTTTATAATAAATTCACCCTTACACTCGTTTAGATAAAGTTGAGAAGTATTACGTTTTCAAACTCCATACAAACAATAATGGAAATAAACTTTCTGCGGAAGAGTGAAATGAGTTATCAGTAATAATGTTACGAAATATATCTCATGTTATATCTATGTCACGCGATAACAACATTATACTTTTTAGAACATTTGTATTAATAATAATACAAAGGTATTTTCGTTTAAAACTCATGTTGCCTATCTCTGTTAAGAATCACAAAAGCGAAAAACAAATGTCGTAGTCGTAGTAGCAAATATAAAATGATACGAATTCCCCTATAATAATACGTAGGTAGGTACCTATATAATTATTATTATAGTATAGGAGGAGGTAGTACAAGAAACAAATTAAATCCGTTTCAGATTGGGTACTTAGTAGAGATAATCTGAAATCGGATAATTCCTCATTTTGGTTTTTAATTTTCACAAAACGATATCAATTTCATGTGGATAACTTACTTAGTTATAATCACTTTCAAAGTACCTAACTCAATAGTTTGCTGTCGTGTATAACTTCAAAACTTTGTGTCTACGTTTCATTAAGAAATATCCATCAAATATGTGTTATCACTTACCTAGTTACCTATTAATAACAGTCTATCAATTAGGCTGGTTAAAAAATTATTAATAAAAATGTTCATCAATGCCATTTAGTTGTAAATATATTAGTATAAAAATAATAATAAGTCACGATCTCAAGCTTAAATAAGGTTCAAATGCTATTTGGTAATTCATTAATTAAGTGTAGTTATTTTAATCTTGATCTCTTTATGAAGTTCATTATAAAACGAAATTTAAATTAAGAAGGTTTACGAATATAAACATCCCGTTACCTGAGTTTATAAAGTACCATTAATGAACTTTTTAAATTAAAATTACGTTTGGAATACATCATAAAAAAAATTAAATCAAACTTTCTAGCACATTATTATATGAAGTAATTCAAGAACTATAACAGAGAATAAATTAAATACTATTTAAACAAAAAAAAATTACCAACCATCTACTATGCCTAAATATACAACATACCTACTTGTATATAAAATATATAAAAAGATAAAAATAATTTTTACTATAGGTATTAGTAACAGAAAATTAATGATAATTTTTGTATAAAATATAATAAATGAATTAAAAATTCGTTTTTTTATAAATAACCACATATCTTCAGATAAATTATTCTAATATTAATAGGTATAATATATTAAGTAGTTAATTATATTTTTGTGAAATGAGGGAAATATAACATTATTAGCAAATAACAAAACATTTTTTTTTTTGAAAATTTATACAGAACACTCAATCAAAATCTACCTTTTGAAAATGGTAAGATTATAAATAATAATAATAACAGTACCGGGTACATCAATACCTGAAATGTAAAAGATAACTTACCAATTTATTGTACTTCAAAAACCACTTCGCACAGCGAAATATCTTGTTAAATATTTTCTCCAATAATAATTAGTTATGCAATAATAAATTATCGCATAACATATGATTACACGAATAGTCAAGTAGGTAATAATTTATTTATCGACCTTATAGTTTCGTTTATAGACGTTAAACGTTGTTTAGTCGAAACTTAGTAGTTCTACTGAAAACATGAAAAACGTCAACGACGACCAATGACGACTAACTAAAACCTGTTGCGCATTCAACAAACGTTGTAAAATATTATTAATTTGTTCGCAGATCAAATCGGTGCAGTCGGGTGGCGTGACGGTCCGGTCTGGCGCCGTCAGGATCCTGAACAGCACTCTGGATGACTTGGCGTCCGGCGCTGTGGTGGTGGACAACGCGCGCGGCAGCATCCGGCTGTCCGGAAACCGTCTGGGCGGGATGACCGGCGACAGCCTGTCCGCTGTCCGGTGGGACGGTGACGGGAATGTACAAGTGGACGGAAACCTGTTCCGCACACTTCCGGCCGACATGCAGCTCCTTCGGTCCGAGAGGCCCACCGAGTTCGTCGGCAACGAAGTGGACAGCGTGGATCTGAGCCCGTTCCTTTTCGGGCTGGGGCCCGTTGTCCGGGCGACTGACAACCGGTTCACGTGCGACTGTGACCCGCGACGCATCAGCGTGCTGAAGCTCAACCAGGTGTTCCCGGGCCTGTTGCAGCCGGACACCGACAGCCGGTTTGCCCGTTTGCTGGCCGACAACTACTGCCGGCAGCCGGCCAACACCACGCTTGCCGGTTACAGGGACCTGCTGGTCAGGGAGATTGCATGCAAGGGCGCCAACTTGACCGTGGTCCAGCCGCCTCAATCGTCAACTGCCCAGTCACCACCGTCCTCGGACACCGCGGCCCCTAACCGTGGTAACACGGTCGGTACCATGTACGTTACCGCAGCCGCCGTCGCCACTTTGTTGCTGTTGCGTAACCTCTCAGTCAACTGAACTCCTGAAGTGGTGTCCTAAATCGAATTTTTTTTTTTAAACATCTTTTTCATTTTTTTACTACAAAAAACACTATACCATCGCAATGACGAACTGTTTTGAAACTTTATATCATAATAATATAATGCTAATATAGGTATTATTACTTAAATCGGTTTCAATTTTATTTTTATTTTTATATTCCTACTTTGAAACTGTATAGGTACAACCGATGCGCTGTTCCTCCACATATAAAAATAATATTAGATATTAATTTGTAAATATTATAATATACTAAGATAAACAGTGTATTTTTATATTTTGAGACATTAAAAATATTTTGTATATCTTTTAAATCGCCGTATTAATTGAAAGTAGGCCACAATAATAATATTATTATTGTAGTCTATTATTCTAGCAATGGTTTCATCCTAGTTCACATCCTACATTTGTGTACATTGTGTTGCATAAACGTTTGCAATCTAGGTGAACTTACAGTTATCGTCAATAATAGTTTATTATATTTTTATTTTACTGAAAAACCGATGGTGGTTGTGTTGTTGTGATAAAAAATAAAAATAATCGTAATTTTAATGTCGGGCAGATGTAATATAATGATTAGATTTATTTATTTTATCGAAAAGGGAGTAAAATTAAAATTAAAAAACATTCAAATAATTGGATGGGTATTATTATTATTATTATTATTACTATCCAATTACGTAACGTAATGAAAACTGGAATGACCCCTTAGAGTCCATTGAACATTGGCAAACAAGTCATTAAATATTTAATAGAATAACTAAAAATGTTAATATTATAGTATAAAATTTTAGTTGCGTTGTAATTTAAATCATATACAACTACACTATACCGATGTCGTTTTAATCAATAAACATTCCAAGCGTTAACAAAGTATTGTAAATTAAATTGTATCATTATAACATATCTATAACTTTAGGTAGGTACAGTAAAATTAAATCCTCTAAAATAAAGTATAATAATATAATACACAACATAACAATGGATAAGCATCTCATTTCCAGTTATGTCTGTGCATCATGATTTGTGAATTGTGACGACTAAAACTCTTTGAACGCTCAAATAATATTATAATTATTTTATTTTATTGAAATATTGCACAGGTGTCCTACACATTTTTAAGGGGGTTTAGTTAGGCAATTTTAGTGAACATTTTAGAAAATGAAAAATACAATACATAATAAAATAAATATATTATTTCGAACATATTTACGTTGTAACATACATTTTTCGTCTTTTGTAAGATGTCAAGGATAATATGATAAAAAAAGTTTTTTCAGCGAACCGTCGAATATCATTCTTTAAAATAATATACTTTCATAAAACAACTAAATTTATCTGTGAACCTTATCTACTATGCAACATTTTTTATTTATGTTTTAAATAACTGAAAAAATGTAACTAACTAAGCAAAAACTTTGAAAATTAACAAATTACTTACAGATTAATAATAAATTAAGAAAGAAAGCATCTTTTTAGGCTGCGGACAAAGGTAAAAACAAATAGACAAATGGACAATTATTACAGTTTTTGTATAGGTAATATAGTTAACATTTTGACCATTCGATGATAAAATTGAATCACTTACTCACACGTTGTCCTATTATAGTATTTTTGAAGTCTTTCCAATATTGTGTTAAAAATATTATATAAATATTATTATAACTAATAATTATTTATACCATAATATTGTGACTACCTATCTATAATGTGTTGTCGTTTAGTTATTTTAAACATTATTATGGATTCGATTGGGTAATCAATTCAATTGACTTTATTTTAAATGTTTGAAGGGACGCACACAAATTTACTCCACCTGGCCATCGAATTGCCTCTCATGACTTTTTTTTTTTAAAGTTCAGTTGAATTTCCTGTTTGATTTCAAAAATAATATCATTCTCTCTAATTGCTTCTTATTTTAGATAGTGACCCTCTTGTACTGGTACTTGTACTGGCTCCGATGGATAAAATTAATCGATTTCTAGTTCAAATCACTATAATTATACATTGATTTTTGTTTTGAATTAATAACAATTATGAGCGCATGGATGACAGTTAATCTATAAAGATATAAGTCCACCCTACATTATAGGAATAATTAATAAAATTAAATAATAAACCAATGTCTATTCAAATTAATATACCTATATTTATTAAGTACTAATATTTTAATAAATAAAATAGACCAACAAATATTTTTACAATATTTACAATATTTTTTGTAATTAACATTACATTAGTGGATATAATAATCGATAGTACATGTACCACTATTGATAATATAATATCAAATAATAACCTAGGTATGCTATATTGGAGGAAATTCGAGTGGACCGTTTAGGTGTACTCATTTTGCTTCCAAAAACACCCGGAAGCAATCAGATTTTTAAATTAACTTATTATATAATATTACTATTTGTTAAAATTTAAATAATACGAATGAGGCACAGCAAATACAGACACAGCAAATGCATATAATTGTGTATATTAAAATATTATTGTCTACCTATCCATTATTATGCAATCAATGTAAACAGAAACTACGTACTGCCAGTATTTATTCGTTTAATTTTATGGTTTAAGAGCAACTGAATTCACCGATTACATAATAGAAAATCAAATTTGCCTTGAGCATGATACTCTAGATGCATATTGTATTATAACTTTGGTTAAACACTCGTCTTTCCGTATATGTTTACTTTGTTATGTTCAGTTAATAGGAAGAATGGTATTTGATTATACGTAGGTACTTATATTTATTATTCATTTTGAGGAGATTTATTTCTGAAAAAGACTTTATATTTTGCTGTGCTAAGCTAGTTGGCATTAAAAATACATCAGGTCAAACCAAACCTCTTTTTCGTGATAATAATAAATTAATAAAGAAAATAATAATCACTTTTTTATTTATTCATAAGATAATATTATTGTATTTTTTTTTTTATTCATCTCGTGGAAAAACAAATTTAAATTGAATAAAAGTTATTAAAATGATTACAAATATGTTTTTGTTTTATTTTAATAAGCAATTACTTCATCTTTGAGTTTTTAATTTCTTTTAGTTTTTGTTATTATTATACCCATTTAATAGACATATTATTATATAGACAGGCTGAAGTTTATTTCTTACGATTCAAAACTAAAATATAATGTATTATTTTTCTCAAAAGGTTTTAATAATAATAATATTAAACATTGTAATTTGAAGTATCAACACAAATACCCATAACTCTATATTATAAATGCTAACTGAGGGGAAATAAATTATAAACATCTCTAGGGACTATGGTCATGGGGAAATGTACCTAATTTTATTTTTAGCAAATGAAAATATATCAATGTTATATAAACAAATTATATAACGCATATAATGGATTCAATTGTATACTAGTTAAAGTCAACTTTGAATAAAATTTAAGTCTAAAAATTAAAAAAAAATAAATTCAAATCAAAAATAAAAGTTAACAGTGATTTTATCCAAATCATCATAAGTTTTAATGCATTTGTGGCCAGGTTTCTAAGAAGAAAATTAGTATGGCTAATCGCATAATATAATAATATATATTATATTATTATAAATGCTATTTTAGTTAAAAACAAAATTAAATTTATTATTGGTTCTAATTCAATTTAATAGACCAACAAATTAATTCACAAAAGGAAAACCATTATTGTTATTACTTATGACTATTCAAGAAATAATTATATCATATTGACATTTAAATAATTTTTCTTTTTTTGACAAGATTTTGATACCTAGTTTGACGAAACATTATACCTACTGCATTAAAGTGTATAGGGTGAAATTTATTTAAGACAAATTTTTTGATGGACGAAATTGTACTCGGGACTAAAGTATTTTATGGGATAAACAGCATGTAACTCTTGTAATAAATTTGACATTTGTAAAAGGCATAAACAGCTTTACTAATTTTATCTTTGTGGTCATGCTCAACTTTTCTCATATATAACTCTTCTTCTATTCTAAAATATATACGTGGAATAATAGTTGAAAACACAGATCATGATTTTCACTGACATACTTGTAACCCGTCACATAAATAAAAATATAATAAATTAGGCAATATTCTTAAAATAAATTATCACTAAACACAAAGCCTTGACTTTAGAAAGTTTTTTTTTTTTAACAAATCTCTTTGCGAAAGAGAATGGCAACAAAATATAATATGTAAATACAAAAGTCCAAACATTCCAACCGAAAAATCCTATTGCAGTTTATTGTTTTCTTCAACTCTGATAAAGCAAAATTAAAAAAAAAAAATTATATGTGATCTGATATAATATTCCAACTCCAATCTGATTAGGTTATCTTTTCTGATAATATATTTGCTGTTTGAAGAGTTTCTTAATTCTCTACTTCCAGGTTTTTGTCCAATAAAAGCTCCACACCCAAATTATCCTAAATATGTTATCAATAATAAAACCTCTAAAAAACTAAATTATTTTACAAACGCATCTAAACTCGTCTAATATCCCACCTTAATTATTGTTTAGTGATTAAGAATCTCGCAGTCCTCGCAATTCCCAGAAATCCTTTAAGACTTTCATATATAAGTAAAATCAATCCATGATTATCATTAATGCACGGCCCTCAAAGTCTGTCCACTTTATTTGTATAATATTATGTATTTTTTAAGATTCAAAATGCTCAATTCTTATTTTTAATTTTGCATAGGCGTGTTCGTTTAGAATCGTTAACGTTTTCTTCTTCCCACTTGGAATAACCTAACCTTACCTACCTATATTTGGTGGGAATTTTACTTAAAAAAAAAAATTAATTAATTAAACACGTTTTAAGCATATGAACCGTATTATACAAGTGACTATATAGTATAAGAAATATTTGACTTGTACCGCTTAATTTTAGGCCCGGTATGGTTATTATTATGTTTATCATTATATTATATTTTAATGATATAATAACTGTTTTCGTTCATTATTATATTGTTATTTAAAAG